ATCGTGTCATCCTTGGTTAAACCTCATTAAGATCAGTATCATCTTGACGAAATCTCCTCTGAAACAATATCTGACGCTTAAATTATTGTTGTTGCTCTTGCCAATGTCATAAAACGAAATCTGTTTGCGAAGATCATAATTTTGAGACTAGATACAACCAAAATAACTATTTAGTGCTTTCATAAGTAATCTCCACTGAACTGTAATCCCTTTTCTCTGCGTTTAGCATTATACTACTAATAAGTAGTATAGATTCATATTTCATCGGTGACTCTAAACTTTAGGAACCCAAACGGAAACTACCTTACGAACGGACAAATGACCTTGACAAGGACAACTGTGACCAATCAGAAGGCTTAAAATGAACGGCGCATAATTTTAATAAATCGTTTATATACAAGTAAAGCAATGTTAAAAAATAGTTACAAAGGATAGCGTTCTCGTATATGTTGCGAAAAAACGTCCCAATTTGATGTAGGAGTCTTTAAAGTAATGTTAAACCAAGTCCTATACATAAACTCGTCGAGATAACTGTAAATCATTAGATTTCTTGATCCGTTGACCGATCTTATCCGTTTTTTGAGATGACTCCAGAAACTTTCAATGGAATTAGTATGAGTTCCATTGAAAGGATTTATGAATCCGGTTGTATGGTTGACAACTTCATGAATATAACCGAGATTTGATAATTGACTGTAACTACTCCACTCATCCGTATGTATTGTTGTTCCCGGCAGCACTAAACGTTGGATAATGGGCAACAATACATTCGCACTGCGATTAGGAATCGCTTCTATATATCATTTGTGTAGGGTGGTGTCATATATGCTCAACACCCATTGTTGATTTGAAGTCATTCTCCCTCTATTATATTTCCTTTTTATTAACACCGTCTCATCCACATGAACAGTAACACCAACTCCGCCGAGTACTTGGGTCAATCTGTTCATTTTCCATGACACCACGTCTCTGCAGTATTGGTACCACTGTACTGCAGAAACTTCTGACATTTCAGTCTCATATGCCGTTGCTGTTACTGGTCTTCTTATAACCCAGTGGTGACACATCATCAGTATCTTCGTTAGAGGTAAATGAGATTTCGAGAAAAATGTATCTAAGGAATCTATAAACTAAAAAATAACGACATACCCTCTCGGACCGATATTCTGCATCTGCACTCCCTGCAACGGTAAACATAACCGTCGATGCATCTCGTGTATCTTTGTATATGCATTACACCTCCGCACTGGCAAGTTTTCGATCTCGCTATCAGCCCGTTCTCTAAACAGTAATCAAAAACAAACTCTGGAGCGAATTTGCACCGCAAACGATGTACAGCATCCATTGTGAGTCAGCTGATTGCCTGCTCAAGGTCATTCATCAAGGTCATCCGTTCTCAAGGTTGTTTTTGGGTTCCTAAAGTTTGCAGTCACCCCTCAGTTAAAGAACCTTGTTAAGCCCATTTTTTTTTCCTTTACGTTCCCAGTGGAACATAGAGATTCAGGCTAGTGGCTTGAAGTTTCTGTAGCAGTGTTTATTTTACAGGATGAGGTTGCTAGCCTCATGCCCAACCTTTCCTCTTTACCAGCATTATTTCTGGCTCAGCGAGGTAAAGGAGTGTGTCGGCCGGGGATCGAACCCCGGACCATGTGCGTTGTCGGCGAGCGTCCTAACCGCTATACCACCGACGCACGTTATGCCCATTAAACAAAATAATTTAGTTGGTCAAATATTATTGCAACAATTGTCAGATGACAGTGGTACGCAGGGGTCAATTAGACTAACAGAGCACCAACAGAGCAGCCGAATCTAAACTGGCTGACTCTATTAGGATAGGAAATCTGGTAAAACGTTCAATTATAACATTAAATGCAGTTATAAACAACCAAAAAGTAGGAAGGGACAAAGTAAAAGTATTAAAGTCTAATATAACAGGCTGGAAGGGAGGAATGATAATAGCAGCTTTACTTTTCGAATCGACTGAGAACACCTCCACTAGGAATGATTCAACACCTGTCCTAGACATCGAGAAAGTCCCCTTACCCTGAAGATAAATGTGACAGAAGGAGGAGAACTATAAAAATCAAGTTTTGAAGTTGTGTAGTTACTAGTGATATGGATACTGAACAAAAATTGCGTTCGAAATGTCATAAGGTAAATAATACTGTTCAACTGTATGTGATGTATCCAATATGGTTGTCCAATGGTTCTCTAACCGATGTCAGCTCATGATGAAATCCTGTACCAATCAATCGAAACCCTAAAAAACAATACTTGAACATTAATATGGAGTTACATACCACCACACTATTGAAGCTTTATACATATACATGTGTAGACAATTTCAGCTTGGACATAAGAATATATTCCCATAATTTCTAGAGGATAAAACGATCTGATTTCGGTAGTGGTGTAAGGCATGGTGACATTTAATTAACATGATTGTTGTAATGGAAAATAAAAACTATATTCCACATTGGAAGCATTTATTGTATATAAATGCGTCGATTTGAGAAAAACTTTAACAAGATAGCAGCCCTCCAGTACAGGCTATCAGCTGAGTGGAAGTCTGTTTTATTGGAGGATTCTCAGAAAATACTAGACAGCATTGAACCGCTTTAGACCATCAGAAAATGACGCTAAAACTGCCTGTACCCAGGAAACAATTCACGTTGTGCACTGATACGAACGACTATGACATAGGCGTAGTACTTAGACAGAGTGAAGGAATTGTCAAATATGCCAGTCGTGTTTTAGCACAAATGAAGCAGCGGTATTTAATGACAGAGGGAGAATGTTTAGCAATAGTATGGATAGTAGACAGATGGAGACCTTATCTACTCGGCCAACGGTTCCACATCGAAACTGATCACAAGCCACTTCAGTTCCTGAGGATAGCGAGAGACCCACGTGGGAAACTGTCGCAGTTGATGTTGGGCCTGCAGGAGTATAACTTCACGATATAACACGTCTCTGGAAAAGAAAACTTTTTGGCAGACTTTTTATCTAAATCAGAAGACGAAGCTGAGTTACCGGAGATTGTTTACGGAGGGCATGCATTGGAACGGGACCTATTATGACTTGCCCGCCGTCAGAAATCAAACCCTACCCTGAATACAGTAATGTGGGGGATTACTAACGGAATAGAACTGAATCAATCTACGGCTACACTACTCAGACAGAAGGATCGATTAAGAGTGACAGCCTACGGAACTCTAACCTGGCGAGAGAACGATGGTAGCTGATTGGCGGTAACACGCTATGAGATGATACATATACAGGAGTACCCAGAACAACCGACCTCTTGAGACAAGGCATGTACCGACCAGGTATGAGAGAAGATGTGGCAAAATATGTACTTGTATTTCCACGGTGCCAGTTGATGAAAGGAGGTCGATGCATACGACTGCCTCGACAGGAGATTCCACTTACGGCAGTAGGTGACTTGTGGTCCGTAGATGTGATGGGTCCGTTTCATCAGATGTCCAGTGGCAATCAGTTAGTCATGGTGATAACGGAACACCCTACACGATGGGTAGACACCGTAGCAATCCCTGATCAATGCGCGAGAACCGTCACTGATGCAGTAGTTCAACACACCGCTGCAGATCATGGTGTACCAAAGACGATACTGAAAAATCAGGGTCCCTGTTTTGAAAGTGAAGAATTCACATCCCGCTTGCAACAGCTGGGGATTAAGAAGATCCAAACAACACCATATCATTTACAGACGAATGATCTAACAGAGAGAAATAACCGTACACTGAAGGAGTGGTTGGCTTTGAAGGGAGGTAACTGGGAGACAAAGCTTTCATTGATTCTACTAGCACATCGTGCTTCCACCCAGGAAACATCAAAGAAGTCACCATTTCAGTTGATGTATGGGAGGAAACCACAACTATCAATACACAACACAACCGATTTCCTCCATCAGCAGTGGAGTATAACGAGGCTGCGAACGGAATGGAAAGAAGCAGTCAGGAATGTAAAGTATAAACAGAAGAAAGACGTCTTGAAATCGGAACAGGGAGAAAAGATGCGATGTATAACCTTTGAGGTCGGCAATCAAGTGTAGAGCAACAAAGTACGCAGTTAGATGTGGACCAGGATCACGGAAGCTCCCTACCCCCAAATTGGGAAGGGCCATACACTGTCACTGAGTGACGTGGTCCCGTTTATACCACCAAAAGAGGAAATAAGCAGAAACGGGTTGACATCAGCCAACTGCAGAAATGAATTCAGTGAGTTAAGGGAGACAGGACCAAATTACACCAGGAACGGGTAGGAACAAGAAGAGCAGAGCGGCGCCGTTCGAAACTATTTGATGGGGGACGAGTGTGGCGTGTTTTTTTTTGATTTACAGCTTGATTCCACACAGTACTTTTGGTAGAAGTATGGAATTTTCAGCATGGATATCGGTAGCCCAAATTTTGCAGGCCGACCATAGATATCGGGTGTGCGTCAGCAGGTGATCGAACCCGGACCATGCGCATGGTCGGCGAGAGTCCTAACCACTGTGCCACCGACGCAGTTCTACTGATAAGACTTAACAATTATTTATAAAGGGACGTTCATGGGCATAAAAATATCAAATAGCGGCGACATAGATTTGACATCAAATACAGAAAATGAACCAACGTTGTGTCAAAACATGGGAGACACAAAAAGAAGACAAAACAACACAACAAGAGGGCCAGAAGCAGCACTACATAGAAGATCTGTGCGAATCGTGGTTTTTAGATAAGGTGTACATAATTTCGCTGTATAGAGATACCGAATTCCAAATGAACATTCCGTTACCAAGTCTCTTGCATTCTAGCATTACAAATGTACGCCTAACCGGTAATTAATTCACATCTATGCACGCGGTAACACAGGAAGATAAGGTGGACATTAAATAATCACAGAACACGGATAGCACCAGTAGTCATGGTGACCATTGATTTTTTTTGTAAAAGCTTCTTTATGAATATATCAAAGCACTACATATTTACTGACGATCACTTCTTGTGCAGTTTTGTTTTTTTATATACATCTTGGAAATACTTTAAACAGTTTAGTGTCCGATAAGTTGTACAGATTTCTTTTTGAATCAACCTGATATCATCCGATTGTATTTCATGATATGATAAAATATCACTAATAGTTTGATTATCAGATGAATTATTCTGACTAGTTTCAATGTCGTTTATTGACTGTAGTAAATAGTTTAAAAGCACATTGGTTGTCGATGTTAAATTGAGGGGACTGTGAAAACGTCCATTGGTTAAATTTGATAGCTTTTTTAGGAAGGATACTGCAATCCTGTGACAAAAGAAGAACAAAAACAAAAAACAGGAATTGGTAAAAATGCGGTCTAAGGATAAGAAGAGATAGTTTTATATGTAGTAAAATAAATGGTGTGTAATTTGACATAGAGATACGTGGTATCCAAGTATTGGTTTGTAGGGATTTGATTGATTGGTAACAGGATTTCATGATGAGCTGACATTGGTTAGAGAACCACTGAAAAACCTGGGAGTACTGGACAGCTGTTTCGTCCTGGGTACGTAATGGCAAAAAGTCTCAGACTAGGACAAAACAGCTGTCCAGTACCCCCAGGTTTTTCAGTGGTTCTCTAACCAATGTCAGCGCATGATGAGATACGCGGTAATTTTATGGGTTTTTTTATTGTCATCGAAGGAGATACTAGATTTACGAAAGCTTATTACTAATACTCGGAAAAGAGGTTTCTTATTACTAATGTTGATCTCAATTTTTTCAACAATGCACGTATTAAATATTTGTTAAGTTTCTTACTTAGTTGACTTAAAATGAATAATTGTGTATTTCATTTCTAACCCACATGAACTATGTGTAAATTTTGTTATTCTCAAAATTCATGAAAAATTCCCATTCGAACATTAATAGACAGAAGACAAGTAGTTCAGCGAAGAGTCTCTTTTCGGCGAATTCATTTTCATAGCTGTACAATCGCAAATATATATGGTTGTTTTGTATGTGTGTGTATACATTAAATTTGTCAAACGAAAATACAATTAGTAAGTTCAGATGAATTGGATGTTGATATAAGAGGGTAGTAACAAAAGTGATGAGTTGTCACAAACGATTGTTAAAGAAGAGTTACGTAATAACGTGAATAGTTTGATGAAAGAGTTGTGCTCAGGGTGTACATGGAAACAAAATAACATACGGAATTACGCAAGGGTTTTAAGTAGTTAGAAAAATAAGCAAACAAACAAAAGTTAAGTCAAATCAACGGAGTTGTTACCATGAGAGTAGAAGTGGTTGAATAATTTTCTTTTGTATGCATAGTTCTGGTTCCTCCAACTGAATGGCTAGGGCTTCTGTGATGCAAAGAAGACGGAATCGTACTGTCTTTGGAAGGTTGTTCTTCACTTTGTAGATTACTTTGAAGGAGGCGTTTGTTGAGATGGAATGACCAGTGTTGACGAGGTGTTCCATTATTGCACTCCTTATGCAGCCATTACTTCGTTTCTGCAGCCACGCTGGATAGTGTTCTTTGACGCTTTTGACAGGACGCACGTTGAACGACCGATGTACCTGGCTCCACAGCAACAGGTGAACTAATATATATATATATATATATATATATATATATATATATAGAAGTGGTCAGATGCGGGATCTTGTCCTTCGGGTTTCTGCAGATCAGCGGACGACTACAGAACACCACTCTCAATGTTGCCGCAAGGAAAGTTCTTCTTAAAGAGGTGGAAATTCTCCTTCTGAGAACGTCACTGAGTAGGTCTCCTTTGAAGTTGAGGTTCATATTAAGTATCTTTTTTGGCACGGATGCTGTCTCTTGCTTTTGGATTTTTTGTTTGATGTTTTTGTCTACGAATCTTGATGGGTAACCACTTTGTATGAAGGTTTCTTTCAGGAAGTTTAGTTCTTCTTCCATGGTATCAGAGCTGCAGATGCGTCGGACGCGAGTGGCAAGAGATCTAACTAGGTTTCTTTTCCAACTGATTGATACCCAGTTGTAGAAGCTTGTCAGTTGGCCGTTCCATGTGGGTTTTCTATGGATGGACCAACTTAAAGTTCCGTCAGCTCTCCTTGTAAGTTCAACATCAAGAAAAAGGATTTTAGATTCGTTTTCGATTTCAAGAGTGAACTTTGTGGCTGGTTGGCATTTGTTGAATATTTGCAGTAACTGAGTGAGATCGTGGTCATCATCACAGATAATAAAGATGTCGTCCACATATCTAACATACAGTTGGAAATTGTCAGTATTTGATTTGAGTGGGCCATTTGTAACAACTCATCACTTTTGTTACTACCCTCTTATATCAACATCCAATTCATCTGAACTTACTAACTGTATTTTCGTTTGACAAATTTAATGTATGCACACACATACAAAACAACCATATATATTTGCGGTTGTACAGCTATGAAAATGAATTCGCCGAAAAGAGACTCTTCGCTGAACTACTTGTATTCTCAAAATGCTAAAGTCAAGCAAACAAGTCATTTTTCTCCTCTTGTGCACCGTTTAAATCCACTAGAGTCATGTGTTCAGTAACGCTAAATATACACTTAGTTTATTCTAGTATACTACCCGATAACAAACCTGGAGAATAGAAGAAAGTTTAGCATGAGACTAGCAACCCCGATGCATGAAAAACAATACTGTTATTGTAACTTCAAAGCTCAAAGCTTGAAGGCCTATTTTCCACTTGGAACGCGAAGAAATAAAATAAAATATGCGCGTAAAATGTTAAGTTTGGAAAACAAGTAGGTTGACAAAGAGGTACTAAACCAAACCAAGTAGTTGAGACGCGATTTACTCACGCCTCATCAGTACGTTTTCTGAAGACAGACTATGGTTGAATTATGCCTAGTATGAGAGAAAGCTTAAGGTGATCGTCTCAAACACTTTTTTTCTCTGTGGTGGTAAGTTAAACCAATGTACTGCCCTGCACACGTTTTATTTATTTGTTTGTCAGTGTCTGTCAATTATTGTGTGGTAAAATGAAAAACCAAAGAATATTTCACTATAGATTCTGTGGTGAACCAACATCAGTTGGAGAATCCTTGAAAACTAGACAGCACTAGACAGCTATCCTGTCCAAAGCCCTCCAAAACCCATGCTGTAAATGTTAATCTCCAGCTCACTGGCTGCTATTGGACGGATGTTCTGAAGTTGTACTGATTGGTAGTAGGTCGTAGTCAGTGGGACACAAAATGTCAAACGGAAGTGGGTGCTGATACATGACAGTGAGTAGTGGTACCGCCATATCATGAAGTAGGATTCACACGTTCCAGAGGCCGAATGGCCATGCAGCTGTTCCGGTAACTCAAAGTTCCAGGCTTCGATCCCTGGTCAGGTCATAGGGTGGTTCTCCAGTGTTCCTTGGTTTTCAGTGATTCTCTAACTGATTTCTAATCGTGAACAAATCTACAATAAAATTTGTTCAGATTGCTACAAAATTTATATTCTGAACTACAGAATACTGTTCTCTAAGTTCTTGTGGTACCACCCTGTGTAACTAATGACAACTGTTTTAGAGGGTGAGCACACTGTTCATATCTAATCCATGCCAAATGGCTTGAAAGTATGGTTTACTAAGGTTTGTACTTAACGTTGGTGTTGGAATTTTCTTTTCCCAGCCATCAATCCTCTATCCCTGTTGCCTAAAGACGTTTCGGGTAAATCAATTCAGTGTAGTGAGTGAAGACGGAGAATTTACGTCTACTATCCCGAAAAGATTTATTTAAGCTGTATCAGATAAAATTAAAGTTACCGTATAGACATTGTAATATTTTCAAAAAATATGTAAAAATCATTCTTACTCATCATTTGTATAAGAAATTGTATGTATTGGTGGGCCTTTGTGTAGTTGTATCAATTTACGCTTCTTCGAGTGTTTCATTTTATTATTGTTTTGACTTGAAGAAACCCTTACCGACTTAGGAGCGTCAGTGTTTTCTCCACTGAATTTCCAGATTTTATCAATATTCCCAATCAGTGAAGAACAACTCACATCTGGTTTACCGTCTGTAATTAGGTACAATCCTTTACTCATATTATTATTATTATTTAGATTTGTACCGTCATAATCACTGGAAGTTTTCATCTTGTCCGACAGCACTGTATTTTTCAAATAGTTTAAACCACGTAGAATTGCTTCACCTGTACACGTTCCGCCGAGAGCTTTCAACTGTTCAATCCATGCCACTGCATCATGACAGTTCATTTCACTGGCGATCACCAGACCTGAATCTTGCCATTCAGTCAACAAACTATTGAAAGCGATTAAATTGAAGTGAACTTTATTCCTGTAATGAAAGTACGATGTCAACAAGCAAAGCTTTAATCTCTTTTTTAAGACGATAAAATGTAAAATGTCACTGGCTTAATCTTACATTAGCTATAGTCTAACCATTCATTGCCCAAAAATGTTCGTTTCAGCCTGTTATCTATGATTCTACAATGTTTTCACTGATAGTTTTACTTGAAGTTGTACGAAATACAGTTTTTTTCCACAACTAAGACGCTTAGTAATCTGTGTTACAGGAATATGATCATAACTACCCTTATTTAAAACCCCCGCATATTTTTTTATCAATAACGAGATTTAAGAGACATTCACTGATTTCACAGTAGAAATATCATGCAATTATGTCCCTGGATAAACCTGAATAGCGATGCAATAAGAAAAGATTTTACAGACACAATCACATAGACTAGAGGATCAGTGCCAATACAAGTGGATACACTGATAAGGAAGTCTGTGGAAACAAATCCACGAAAACAGACAGATATTTGTTTCATCCATGGAGAATTTGTGCTGTAAACACTTTGTCCAGAAGAACAACAAAGACTTCACACTTAGACCATGCAGCTCAGAGAATACAGCAAAACCAAAAAATAATCCATCTGAGGTACACTATCTCAATATGTATTGTCTGGAAATATTACTTCCGTATAGCACTGGGTCCGATTCCCTGTTGATACATACTCCGAAACTGCCTAGTTTACTGTCTGGTAGCAAGATGGAAAAAGAGGTGGGGGTTTATGTGTGAGACTGGCAACTCCACCAAACAAGAGAAACAACATCAACACTACCGAAACTTCAAAGCTTGAAAAGGAATGAATGAAAAAAGAGCCAGTTAGTAGTACAACAATCGTACAACTATCAATATAAGGCAGACTGCTTAAATCACTAGCCTACCTAAATTTCCACCTAAAATAATGCATCAGATTTTCTGTATTGTTTATTGTTTTAATCATTTTAGTAGTTATGTCCTCGGGTTGTGAAATGGACTCACGCGTATTTTTACATAGCTTTCAACCTAATGTTGTGCAATTCTCGAGGAAGATGAGAGAAGATCATCATAGGGGATTAAAGAGCAGTTTGTTATACAATATACTCTTAATTACCATTTTATCTGAAGATCCTCGATGAAGATTAAAATTATGCAATAAAATGTGCTGAGAATTTCGTACTGAGTATAAACATTTATTGAAGATCAAACTATTATTATTGTTATTATTGTTCCCTTGGGTTCCTAGTGGAACATAGGACTTCAGCTGCACGCCTCCACTTGCTTCTGTCATCTGCTGTATTTTTCATCTGCATCCATGTTAGTCCATACTGTTTCAAATCCTCTTCACACGATCTCCTCCATGTCACCATTGGAAGACCCACTCGCCGCTTCCCTTTCGGGTTCCACTCGAGGGCCTAACGCGCGGTGTCACCCAGTGGCCTCCTCAGCGAGTGTCCAGTCCATCTCCACTTTCTCCTGAATATTTGTTGGGCGATTGGTTCTTTTTTTGTTTGTTCTCATAGTTTCTTGTTGGTGATTCTTTTCGGCCATCTGATCTTCAGTATGGAGCGAAGACAGTTGTTGATAAAGGTCTGCAACCTGTTGAAAATATTCTTGGTGACCCGCCAAGTTTCTGATCCGTAACGCAAAATTGACTTCACGTTTGTATTGAAAATCCGAATTTTGTTGTTGATGCTGAGCGACGAAGATTTCCAGATTGGTTTCAGGTTGATGAATGTGTTTCTCGCCTTCCCGATTCTCGCTCGATTTGACATCCTCGTCCGTCGGTTTCTCCTGTAGTTGAGACAATGCTCCCTAGATAAGTGAATGAAGTAACCTCTTTCAAATCCCTCCCATTGATGCTGCTTGGCGGTGGATGTTGCTGCTGTTGTTGTTGTTGGTTGGTTATTTTCATAACCTCCGTCTTGTCTATGTTCACCTGGAGTCCTGTCTTCTCTGGCTGCTTCTTCGACCGGTTTGTCGGTTTTCGCTTGTAAGTTTTCGATTTTGTGTGACATCAAACATAGGTCATCCGCGAAATCCAGGTCTTCTAGGTTCTTCACGTCGGTCCAGGATATCGCTGTCTTCTCGTTTCCCACTGTCTGACGCATAATCCAGTCCACCACAATTAGGAATATCATTGGTGATAATAAGCACCCTTGTCTGATTCCTGTGTTTATTCCAAAAGCCTCGCTGAGTTTTCCGTTGTGGATCACTTGACATGTGCCGTTGTCGTACAGCTGTTGAATAAGGTTGATGAATATTTGAGGTACGCCGTAGTACTCGAGTAGTTTCCAAATTACTCGCGGTCAACCTTGTCGAAGGCCTTCTCAAAGTCTATAAAGTTGAGGTAGAGATTTGATTGCCATTCCATTCTTTGTTCGATGATGATGCGTATAGTTGCAATTTGGTCAGAACATGATCTGCCTTTCCTGAATTGATCTTGATCTGGTCGGAGTTCTGTATCCAGTGCGTCCTTTATTCTCTCCAGGATGATGCGACTCAGGATTTTACTTGGCATCTGAAGATCAAATGGTCAGTATGAATTAGTAACAAGAAACTCTGGCTGGGAACAAACCAGCTAAGAGCCGATCGCCCAAAACATTTGTAGGAGAATATGCAGATGGATCAGGCATACATTGAGGAGGCCGTCGAATGACATCGAGTGCAATGCAGGCCATCACTCAAGTGGAATCCAAATGGGAAGCGACGAGTGGGTCGTCGGTGCTACAGTCCCATGGAGGAGATCGTGTGGGGAAGAGATGAGAGAGTTTGGATAATCATGAACGCTGATGAAGAGAATGGCAGAAAATAGAAGAAAGTGGAGATGTATTGTTGAAGCCCTATGTTCCACTCGGAACCCAAAGGAACAATAATAATAATATAAACACTTATTACTATTATTGTAGGATGAATTTGACTTGTGAAGTATTTTGTCATAACCTAGACTTGCTACTTTTTATATTTTTCATATGCTCTGAAGTTTCTTTATCGACTGAATGCATATTTTCCGGGGTATGGTAGGCAGTCCCACACCTAAGACCAGCTAGTAAACCAGACGTGGATACAGCCAAAACAAACAACTATAGAGGACAGAATGAAATACATATTTGTTGTAGAAGCCCTATGTTCCGAAGGGAACCTAAGGGAATAATAATAATTAGGATAATGAGCTTGTTATTAACAGTCTACTGAAATATCATTGTCAGTAGTTTTAAAAACAGATGATAACATACACAAATGAGCCACACTTAGTATTTTTTTTCAGTTTCATTAGTATGTGGGGTAAATTCGAGAAAGACTTATGGCTGGTAAGCTATACGTATCATAGTTTATTTGTACCGTACAAGAGGTTATTCACAACTAAAACACACACAGTGCTTATTGTTTAGCTAATTAGTAAATGAGTGTAGCCACTTTGCATTTCGTCGGATTTTCATGCGCTCATAAACTACTAGATAATCTCAGTTTAGGTATTTTAGTGATCTAAATGACGTGTGAATACATTGCTAAAATACATACACTCTTGAAATATGATTGATATATAAAACTGTATGTCCCACAACAAGAAATACTTAAAAGAGAACTGAATACTCCAGGAGTGGAGAGATTCCTGATTCACAAAATGTCAAAATGTTTTTTACTCAACACTGTTCCTAATGCCTGTAATCAACCTTGTCATTCGCAGGTGAGTGATCTGCAAGACTTGAAGACCACACAACAGACGTATGGGAAATAATTTTAACGACTTACTTGTGTAGTTGTTCCCAGATTAGAATTTTCAGTTGGGTTTTTATCTCATTCATATGAATATCCATTGAACCGGAGGTATCAATTAAAATGACGATGCATTCTTCACGTATCATACCAAAATATTTTCTAGAGCCTGTTATCAACCACTTGTAACGCTGAATATATCGTTTCAATGCTTTTATTACCTAAAAATTAAATTTTCACCAGTTTGAAGACAGACGTGTAAAAGATCAGTTGCAAATGCAAATAATTTATTCATTATTTAATTCCTTTTGCGCTCCATGTGGAACATAGGGCTTCAAGCTTCAGTTCTGAAGCTTAAGTAGCAGTGATGTTTGCACGGGATAGGGTTGCTAGCCCCGCGCCCAACCTTCCCACTTTATCAGGGTTACGACCTGCCAAGGAAGGTAGAAAGGTGTGTGTGCCGGCCGGGAATCCAACTCCGGACCACAAACATGGTTGGCGAGCATTATTCCGCCGAACCACCGATGCACAAGCACTGCATAGGTAAGCTCAATAGATTCCATGTCGCACACAAGACTGGCCAGACGCTTTATTATAGGCAAGGGTAGCATGAATAGTGACGCTATAGTGACTTAGGCGCAGTGATATAGTAAATGTAAATACTTAGAATAATTGATCTAGACAATGAACTAGTAACAAACAATAAGTGAGTACTGCTGATGAGCCCCAAACTAGGATGAAAGAGCTGTACAGTAGTCACTGGTTTTCAGTGGTTCTCTAAATGATATCAATCCGTAGTCTAGCCTGAAAAAAATATAGTCCCCACAAACTAATTCTTGAAAATAAGAAATATGTAGAAATAATGAAGAGAAAGAAACTGTATTAAATAGTGAATTGTTGGAATTAAACATGTGTCACGTACATGTCGGGTAGTAGGTTGTTGTTTGATTCACTGGCTACCATAGTTTCACGTTGCTAGCTTATCCTTTTTGATCGGCTTTCTGATTTTCAGTATGCAGTCAGAAAAGGAATGCACTGATGGAAGTTTTGTGACAGTCTGTTGGAAATGCTTTTGGTGACGTGGACGCCAAATCTCTGGGTTACACAGGGACAATAATTTGATACCAGCGCTATAAACTTTGAATCTTGTTGGCTTGTCCTAAGCGGTGTATATCTCCACACTAATTCCAGAGTTCTGCTTTTCTTATTTACTTTAATCAGATAGTATCTAAACTGTACTGACTTCTTAACCGCCTTGATGAAAATTTTCCCAAAATAAGATAAACGTAAAACAATGATGTGCATCGGTGGCAGAGCGGTTAGGACGCTCACCGACCTTGCACATGGTCCGGGGTTCGATTGCCGGCCAACGCACTCATTTACCTCGCTGAGCCAGAAATGAAGCAGGGAAAGAGGAAAGCTTGGACATGAGGCTAGCAACTTCATCCTGTAAAAATAAACACTTCTGCAGAAACTTCAAGCCGTTAGCTTGAAGCCCTATGTTCCCCTGGGAACGTGAAGGAATTAATAATAAATAATAATATTAATAAAACTGATGTGTACAACTACAAAGTTAGGCACACTTCAGTGAAAACATAAGTGAAAACAACGCTACTAAGTAAATCAGAGAGCAACATTTTAATCAGCTCTCATAGTTTCTTAGCTGACCAGTAAGCAGAATAATGCAGTTTTTGTTCAGTAAGAGTACAAACTATATCGGCGAAAGTATAAGTAGGATTTATGCTTAGGTTTTCGTAACTTAATCAGATGTTAGAAATAATCCTAAAGTAATTGTTGACTACTCTTTCAGGTACGTAGTCACTTATCCGATCTAAACGAAACCATATTCATTCTTTGTTCCAAAGTAGTCGATCGCTGTTAAGAAGGCCAGACTTCCTAAGAGAAAGATAGCATGATGCTCTGTGATGCTTACTATAACTGATTCCATTTCTATGTTTATTCATTAGAAAATTTCCATCATACTACTTATATCTGCTAATACACTGAATTAGTTACATAATAGTGAATTATTGTTTTCTCGATAAGGGGCAGTTATCTGTTAGAAAGTTATATGCCACCATAGGAAGTAAATGCACACCTTACATTAGATATTCATTCTGTCGCATAAAGTGTGTGTAGCGTATCATCTAGCTCACTGAATAAACAATAAAGGTATGATACGAAGTGGTACACTATATTCCCTACTTTGTAAGTTGTATTATCTCAGCAAATAGAAGCAAGGGGAATTCAGTTTCCTCATTAAATTTCTTAGTAAAATAACAAAGTAGATTTTGTCCCTAGGCGATAATAGTTGGAGAACAAGTAAAAACTGTAGAACACTGGTCAGCTATTTCATCCTAGTGGAGAACTCGCAGTAGATCAGTATAATAGGAGCACGCTTACCATTAAGCCGTTGGATAGGACTTCAACAGCTCATTAATTCCAACGTCGACAACCATCATTCGATGTTATCGGTGAGTAACTATGCACACACTAGACTTCATAGGTCCTAGCGGTGACGAAATTTAACTAGAACTCCAGGAAATCAATATTGAAGCTAATCGCCAATGAGAATCGGGGCTAATATTATGAAGCAGGTTATATGAAGCATTAAATGACTTCTCGGTACACATTAGATGATGATATTCAAGTAAGTTCAGTACTTTAAGAAAACCTTTAGTTGGTATCCAGAACTAACAGATCAATGCAAAGCCTTACACTGAAATGGATCAGTTCAAGTCGCCACAATCAGGTAAATAAAATAAGGAGGAAACAAACAGAAATGTCATAACATTATAGTTGACAAAAAGGGAATTTTTTAGAAGAAACAATTTTAGAAATCTTGAAAAGGACCAAGACTGAATAAAGTGGTGAGTAAATTGCTGATAGATTTTGTAACGAATCACATTAATAGTTTCCAAACACTAAATTTTAACCAGCAGTTTTCTCATACTACTTGTTATCAACAGGCACTTTTGGGATTATAAGTAGTACGAAGAGAATGGTAACGTTCTCGTGATAATTTTTAAACTCCATGTCTAGCAGTAAGATCGAAGCATCCGTACCAGGAGCCAGAATGTTAACAGAGACAGGGTATTTCCGTCTGGCATGATCAATCAGTCAATCAACGGGGAATATTAAACTGATTTCAACAAATAATTCCTAAACCTTGCCTTTTCCCAACAAAAGTGTGTTCATTAACAAGGAGGGTTAAAAGAAAGTCAGGTTAAGACTGTTTTATTGTTCTTTTATGCCAGAACATAATATTAAAAACAGTGAAATAACCTTCTTAAACTATTGGGTAAGTAAAGTCACAATAGGAGATAGGGGAGAAAAACTTTTCAGTCCTTACAAGCGAAAGCGCTTTGATCTTAGAAGCTAATTAGGATTTCAGCCTAGAAGTGTATGTTTTTAGTATGCTGAGAAAACGGGTCAAATAAGTTGTAAACTTTCCCTACTTAATAACACCGTGCTAACCAGGCGTCAGCGGAAACAGATTAAATGCCAGGGTAGTTACTGTTAACTTCCTTAGTGTTTGCCTTTGTCTTGACCTTATGTATTTTATACTTCCTTATAAGTTATCTAGTGAAAACAACCATAATTCAAAGTAAATTATTATAAGTAATAAAAATTTAGACTATATTATCACAAGGATATCCATTTTTGTTTGCCAGTTAGACTATGTTGTGCCTTTTCCTATTTGCTTGACGATATCTTGAAGTAGAATTCAAGATGTATATTTCATCTCATTCAGGATTTGTCAACTTGAAGTAACTGTATCACTGTGGGTGATTGGTGTTCTAACTGGGACTGAAATTAAGCGTCTATCGTTCCAAAGACCAAAAGACTATATATATACCAAGCTACTAAGCCCACATTCAAACAAGTAACTTCAAGTTCAAGCATTTGATAATATTAAAGCTTAAAATCAATTCAGTCAGACAATCAAAAGTGGGATCAGTTAACTCGAACTATAAATATCGACGTGAACAGATAATGTTTATTTCCTTGTTGTATATAATAAGTAAGATAGCGAGTGAATTCGTTTACATATGTTCAACACAAAACTATTTTTTGTATTGGCCAACTTGATTTTCACATGAAGACAGAGTAGTAATTCGCTTAATTCACGTCTTTTATATTCTTGTTGGCGAATTTAGCTTTTGGTTATGAATCTCTGCTGTTTTTTCCACATTCCTTTCAGAATGAAATACTATTCCTTTCGTTCTCTGAGTAAGATATGAGCCTTCTTCAAGTTTTTCAGATGTTATTTTCAAAGTTAACTTTGACCGAATGATTTAACTGTCTTATTTTTGAATAAAGCAAGAACAACAGTGGTTTGTGCAGAATAATATGCTACCATCATTTATTTCGTTGGCTTCTCATCAGCTGCTGATTACAACCTAAATAAATTATTAAGTTCATGTGCAGAAAAGTTTTAACATATTTGCAAATTTTACGTGATGTCAGTTGACGGGAGGTTCTGAACTTTCTTTCTGAACACATAAATCGGGTTTCAGGCGTTTGATAAAGGTTTCTTTGGCAAACTTTAAGAGAATCGAGCTCACTTGTCTTTTGATAATTTTAAAGGATTTCGCTATCTCCACCTCATGACCCATATCAAAGAGATGCTTGGTAATGGCATTACTGTAAGCGTTTCTTCCCTTGAGATGTAGGCTGTTCGGTACATGTTCAGTAAATATGAGTTGCCCCTTCTTCCTGTTCTCCCAGTGTAACTTCTCCCTGAGATACACGTAAATTTGTACACACAGTTGGATTAACTGCACCAAAGAGCATGTTGTCCGATAGACGGGAACCAACTTAGCTGTGGGATAGGCTCTGTCTAGTGACGTACTCAGTCTTCTGTCGACTACTGCTGCAATATTTTCACCTTTGAAATCATGTTGAATGAAGACAGGCTTTTTTCCCTGTGTGATTTATTTGGCATTTCAGCCTTCATATCTTCCATACTAACCGTTGTTTTTCAACATCTTTTCGAGAATCATAAATTCTTCCTCTCATTTCTCTGCAGAGCATATTCTCCTAGCTCTATAATATAAGGTCTTGACTAGTGCTCGTTTAAAGCTATTTGAACAAAAACTATTAAAATGTAGGTATTGTTCATTCCACGTCGGCTTTCGGTAAACTGACCTCTAAAGACTACCATCTTCTAGGCGTTGCATGGCAATGTCAACAAAATGGAACTTTCCATCATTTTCATGTTCCCCATTAGACTGAATATTTGCATGTGTGTCGTTGAATAATCTAAGTATGTAGGAAGCATGACTTTCGTTGTTGAACACTACAAATATGTCACCTGTGACATATCTACAGTAGGAAGTTGTTTTGTTGATTGCATGCTTCAACTTCATTCTTTCACGGTTGGACATGAATATTTCTGCTAAAACACGGCTAAGTGGACTGCCCATAGCTACACCATCTATTTATTGGTAAAGAGTTTTGTCAGACTGCAAGTGTACATCCATGGTATACATTAGCACTAGGTGTTTGAATTCTGACTCTGGGAGAAGATCAGACAGATAAAAATATGATTTCCATAGTTTCATTGATTGGGATCCTTGTAAAGTGTCTTATTTTTGTCTCTTAAATTATAAGTTACAAATGATTTCACCTTTCTTTATGTAAATAAATGAGAGGCAGTATTTTGTTTAGATTTTAGCATTCACTCAATGAATACCCCTTTGTCGTTTATACTGTCAAAGATAGCTTTGCAGATTATTATGATTGTTAGTAGTTAAATTTACTGAATGAAGTTAAACCCATACCGCTGAGCACAGTTTAGAACGTTCTGCATGTTATACTAAGTGAAGAACACGCACTACCTAATTGGCCTGTAAAACTGTCAAAAACGAACTGAAGAAGGATAAAGTGTGGTGGGCGAGATTAGAACACTACATTATTTCTAAAAACTAAACATAATTATGCATATAAATATGATAGTTAAACAACTTTATAAATCTCAGTAACCTACTTCTTGTTTAAAAGCTTCCAGTTCATCCAGTGTATACTGAAGATGTCGAAGAGTCCCGGCCACATTAACAAGTGGGAACAGACCACTACAGTAGCGTGCATGTACAAGTGTTCGAGTTGAATTAATAAAAGACATTTCATGTTTACAGTCCATTCCAGATGTAAGACGTGTTAAATTCAGTCCCAAACTACGTATACTATATTTACGTAGCCATTCACGACTGGTAAGCTTTCGAATCATAAAAAAACAAGGAGAGGATAGATATAAGAACAATCAGGTAATTTCATAAGGATCAGGAAAATTCCATTTGCACTAATAATACCAATTATGCACTAAGATTAGTATTCTACATCAATGACAGATGACAACACCCAACCAAAGCAAAGCACCTTAACCAGGTGAAAAGCACTAAATTAGTATAAGCAGGGTTGAAAAAAATGTGGATACCTAGATAGTTTTAGGTTAGGAAAACATGAGGTTTAGGAATATGGTTATATCAATGTTAGTTTAAGGATGGTTGCGGTTAGAAGTTAATTGGTGGATCGTGACTAGCAGTGGAATCCAGAATGCGCATTTTGTCCTATTTGGGACTTGTCAACTGGATGCACCTGCATTCCACAGTGAGTGATGATGTTCCGACAGAGGCTGGCACCCAGTGCCATAGAGGCCGACATGTCAACCTGAGACCGAGCACTTCGGTCCAATCAATCGACGGGAAAATCTAAAATTCAAATTAAATAATGGTTTCGGTTAGATTAAGGTTAGCTTTAGGGTTGAGTAGGAACCTAGGTTTGTCTTTTTTGCACAACTGGAGGTTTCAAGGTCATTGGTTCCTTCGTTGTTCTTCATGTTTATTGTTTAACTTGACCCCAAAATGAAAAACTACAAAGCAGAAACAACTGATAGTATAAAACCATGTCGGTTTTATGGTAGTGAAGATTTTTACCTCAGGTGGGTGATATTGGTGTAGTCATGTTCTCTGAAATGGATGGTGGTTTATTTGTGAAGCTTTAGTCATCCACCTAGACAATATCTTTGGCGCAAACTTTGATATGTAGATGTTGTCTGGATAGACCACTAAACGGTTCACCTCAGAAAACACAACTTTACCAATATATTATGTTCACTTTTATCAGAAGTAAATAAATGCTCAACTGTAGTTAAGTTTAATATGCTAGTGAGCTCTTATCTGAGGGTAACATATCATCATTATTATTATTCCCTTGGGTTCCAAGTGGAACATATTCTATTTTCTGCTGTCCTTTTCAGCTGTGTCCACGATTGTCCATAACCCCTCATCTCTTCCTCACACGATATCCTCCATTTCACCGTAGGAGACCCACTCATCACGATGAAGTCTATAGAATGCGTATTATGAAGTAGTAGTATAAATCGTTCACTAGTGAGTATATAAAAGGTTTAATTCCCTAAAATATCAAGGATGATATTATGACATTAACTGTAGTTACTGCGACTACAGTACACTGGGTTGAGTGAATTAACTTCAAATCTTAGCAAGCAAGACATCAGTCAGTTAAATGCTTAACGCGTCACAAGGAATAATCAGTTTTATTTTCAAATACTCATGATGACCAGTATATTAAGAGAAAACTATATCAGATATCTGACTTAATCAAAACATTTGGTCACATTAGATGAAGACAGGAAGATGAATTAATAGAGACATACTTTCTCTTCTTCTGTAGGTATCTGACAGTTGAATCGTCCAATTTGAATTGGTTTCCCGGTGATACTTGATTTACTCCTACCAGACACTTTATTTCTTATAGAAGCAGACTGTGTTCTGTCAGTAGAATGGGTTTCTGGATACCAGGTTAAGGATTTTAGATGGAGATCATTGCCAAAAGAAATACTCTTTATTTTCGCTTGAATTGCATCTTTTCTAGCCAATGTTAATGAGTTTAAGCGTGGTTCCACTTGACTGGAAGTAGTTAATCCATTCGTTATTTGATTGTTATGATTACTGACAGCAGCAGAAGCAGTAGTAAGAAGACTTTTTGAAACCACACTTCTATCAGACTTATTCTGATCATCTCTAAACATGTTTTTTTAATTTTATCAAATGGTAGAAAGCATTCAGACAAGGGAATTAAATTTAGTTTTAAAGAATCAAAATGCAAATTAGTACATGTTAATAGCACTGTTCATTAAAAATATCCGCAATCTTTTGACTGACTGCGATTATTATAGCTTGAAGTTACTACAATGATGCAGTAAGCCAGTGACTAGAAAAAGTTAGTGGTAACTTATAGAAATTGTGTTGTAGAATTCGTGAATAAAACGAAATCCTTCATTTCCTTTCCCTATGATCGTATCCATGTCACTGTGTACCTACGCCCAACACTTCACTTCTAATTCGGTTTCTGCTAGTGAACGTGGTGCGTGATACCAGTCAACTGTCTCCACAGAGTATGTTCCATTCACCTCCACTCCATTCTGCATAGATTTCTGACTGGTTCACTACTAAAATCCCGTGCAGTTTGTCTTTTCTGATTCGAGACTGGTCCTTACAATTCAGACCTTTTTCCTTCTGCTGAATACTGCGGATCTCCGCATTGATTTCAGAGTTGTGAACGCCTGTCTATCTTTGTTTCCAGAACCTGATGGCTTTTATATTGTCATTCGAGCCAGCTTTATTGGAAACAATGCTGTCTATGTAAGTGAGAGAAAGAGACGACTTCGTTCACATTTCTCTTACTGATGGTAATTAGTGTTAGTTACTGGTCGGGTCGGGTATCTTCTATGTTTTCTCTATCTCCACTTGAAGTCTTGTCTTCACTGCTTGTTTTTTTCACCCAGCTTGTTGCTTTTCGCTTGTATATCTTCGAGTCTGTGAGACATGACTAATAAATGATCTGAGAAATCCAGATCTTCTAGGATATTTTTTAAACATCCACTCACAGTGTGCCACATGATCCAATCCATCACAGTCAAAAATACAGCCGCTGAACGAGGATTATAAGCATTTGTGGGAGTGCCCTCCATAGTGTCGCTTTCCTCGAATCTACTGTGTTCCTGGAGAGGCCTTCCATACAGGACATCTTTTAGTCTTCTCAGGATGATGCCACTTAATATTTTGCTTGTGTGTAGAGTAGCACAAGTCCGTGTCAGTTCTTATATATGCTTAAGTCGCCTTTCTTTGGCAGTTTAACGAGGTTCCTTTTCTTCCTAGTGGTGCGTACTTGTATGTTCATATTCATTAAAGAAGTGCTTCAGAATATCCTGTAACTTACAACTCTTGTTTCTGTTGTAGGCAATTTCATTTTAACTAGTTACCTTATCAGAGCAAGATAGAACTGAGTTCATCTCAAGCATTTTGCAGCTAGACGGTGCTTAATATGAAACTGAAACAAAATCTTTGTAGAACCTTGCAGTAACAAGATATGACATTTTCCGTAAATTACAGTATAGCAATTTTAAGTGGTTTTATTTAGGTGTTTATTGACGGCATTAGTTG